ATTATATAAAGAATATATAACTGTCTTTTTCTACCTGTCTAGATAATCTTGGAAAGTAAAACATTAACTAAATCCAAATTGTAAGAGCCGTTTCTGAGAAACCAATTACATATACGTGGGCCATTCAGAAAATTAGCGAAACTGAAAAAGTTCCATGTATTTAATTTTTATTTAGTGTAAAGTATTTTGAAAGAGAAGGAGATACACAAGCGTTTACAAAGTTGAATCCGAATTGTAAGAGCCGTTTCTGAGAAACCAATTACATATACGTGGGCCATTCAGACAATTAGCGAAACTGAAAAAGTTCCATGTTTAAAGTTTTTATTGTAAAGTATTTTGAAAGAGAAGGAGATACACCAGCGTCTACAAAGTTGAATCCGAATTGTAAGAGCCGTTTTTGAGAAACCAATTACATATACGTGGGCCATTCAGAAAGTTAGCGAAACTGAAAATGTTCCATGTTTAAAGTTTTTATTGTGAAGTATTTTGAAAGATATCTCCACCAGCGTATACAAAGTTTAATGCATCTGAACCAAATTCGAAATACTTTTTCTAGTCCGCCTCAGACACCTCTGTTGCGGCCATGTCGAACACTTCTAGCGTATCTTCCGGCGATAAACCCTTTCAGTTAATTTTTAGGGTTCCGTAGTCAAATGGCAAAAAACGGAAGCCTTATGGATTCGTCATATCTGTCTGTCTGTCTGTCCGCCCGTATGTCACAGCCACTTTTTTCCGACTATAAGAAATATGCTGTTGAATCTTGGAAAGTAGATGTATTCTGTGAACTGCATTAAGATTTTCACAGAAAATAGAAAAAGAACAATAAATTTTGGGGGTTCCCCATACTTAGAACGGAAACTCAAAAAATTTTTTTCATCAAACCCATACGTGTGGGGGATCTATGGATAGGTCTTCAAAAATAATATTGAGGTTTCTGAATAGTTTGCGCGAGAGACACTTCCAAAGTGGTAAAATGTATGTCCCCCCCTCCCCTGTAACTACTAAAATAAGAAAATGATAAAACTAAAAAAATATATGATGTACATTACCATGTAAACTTCCACCGAAAATTGGTTTGGACGAGATCTAGTACGTAGATTTTTTTAATACGTCATAAATCGTAAATTATGTTACTTCCTGCTACGGAATCCTTCATGGGCGAGTCCGACTCGCACTTCGCCGGTTTTTTTTGTTTTAGGAAATAACAAATTCAATACCAATTCCGTGCTTTAAGGAAGAATAGAACAGAATAATTATTATTCAATATAATAATCTATTGAATACTTATTGATAGTCAATTTCTTTACTTACCACTGGCTCGGAAAAATAAGTCTGTCTTTGGAAGCAGCAGCAAGAAAATCTTTTTTCTTTTAAATGTAAACGTCTTTGTTCTTACCAAAGGTATTCGTCTTTTCAAGTTTTCAAACTACTGAACTGGAAAGAATACGGTATTAACATCAATGGCGAGTACATCACTCACCTTCGATTTGCCGATGATATATAGTCCTTATGGCAAAATCACTGGAGGACCTTAGCACTATGCTCAATGACCTCAATAGTGTTTCCCAAGGGATAGGTCTTAAGATGTACATGGACAAAACAAAGATCATGCTTAATGTTCACGTCACACCTATGCCGGTAGTTGTTGGGAGCACTAAACTCAAAGTTGTGGACGATATGTTTACCTGAGACAAATAGTCCAAATAGATAAGTCCAACATCGACCGAGAGGTTAATCGACGTATTCAACTCGGTTGGGCAGCGTTTGAGAAATTACGACTCATCTTCTCGTCAGATATAACTCAAAACCTGAAAATGAAATTGTACAACCAGTGCGTATTGCCAGTGATGACTTACGGATCTGAGACGTGGTCCTTCACTGCTGGCCGTATGAGGAAGCTCAAGGTCGCTCAACGAGCTATGGAGAGGGCTATGCTCGGAGTTTCTCTGCGTGATAAACTTAGAAATGAGGATATCCGCAGTAGAACCAGAGTGACTGACATAGCCATAATCCGTTGGATAAGTAAGCTGAAGTGGCAGTGGGCCGACCATATAGCTCGAAGAACCGACAACTGATGGGGAAGAAAGGTTCTTGAGTGGCAGCCTCGTACCGGTAGGCGAAGTGTAGGGCGACGAGATGGAGTGACGACCTGGTAAGACGTGCAGGAAGTCGATGGATGCAGGTGGCTCAGGACCGTGCTTTGTGGCATTCCTTGAGGGAGGCCTATGTTCAGCAGTGGACTTATGAAAGGCTGTTATGATGATGATGATCACTGCTGGGTGGTTACTCTAAGCTGCTGGAACGCGTTGTTCATAAGTGGCTGACTAACTATCTTGAAAATAATAGTATACTCTCGGACCGTCAGTTTGGTTTCCTTCAGGGAAAATCGACTGAGGATGCAGTAAGTCTTCTCACAGATATGGTTGTAACTCATCTCGATAAGGGTCGATCCTGTGTCGGTGTTCTCGATCTGGCTAAAGCATTCGACACGGTATCGATCCCCATCTTCCTTAAGAAACTAAGTGCTCTTGGTATTCGTGGTCTGACTTTAAACTGGTTTTCCAGCTATTTGTCGGATAGAAAGCAATGTGTCCGAATAGACGATCAAGCAAGCGATTTTAGATCTCTAGATTTTGGCGTTCCTCAGGGTAGCATTTTGGGGCCGACTCTTTTTATTTTATACAGTAATGAGATTATGTCAATTGAACTCGAAAATAGTGATGTTGTATGTTATGCTGACGATACAGCCATAATATTTTATGGTAAATATTGGCTCGACGCCTACCTTTCGATCGTCTCCGGGTTGCATAAATTACAAAAATGGTTAAATTACAACATCTTAACACTGAACACCACAAAAACGCAGTTAATTTGTTTTCATAAAACTGCAGTGTCTGAACCGATGCCGCCAATTTTCAATAACCTTAAAGTACACAATAACAACTGTAGTTTTGGCTCCGTGAGCTCACCTAATAGTAACTGTGACCAGAAAAATAGATTAGGCTCCTTTAAATATTTGGGTATCATAATAGATGAGAACCTTAACTTCAAAAGTCATATATCGGCGACATCAACAAGGATCCGTAAGCTGTTACACACAATTAAACTATTGAGAGATTCCACTGATGGCAGCATTTTAAAGTCAGTCTACCCTGCACTATGTCAGTCCGTACTTGGCTATTGCATACTGGCGTGGGGTGTCATAGCCTCCTCTACGAAAGGAAAGGGCCCAGAGGACAGTTTTGAAGATAGCTATGGGTAAACCAAGGCGTTATCATACGTCAGATCTCTTTAGAGAAGCCCAAGTTTTAAGAGTCCATAGATTGTATCTTCTGAGGGTTTTCACATTTATGCACAGGGAAACTACGAAACTACCAACATTTGATACTTTAATAAATAAAAGAGTGTTTAAGATCCCCACAACCTTGGTTAAAACATCTTTCGTTCATCATTTCAGATTGTTCCTATTCCCACGCATCTACAACTAATTCTTACTATTGTGTCTGAAAACCGGACAGTGAAAGTGTTAAAGCGATACCAACATTACTTGGGACTATGAGGAAACAGAAGAAATATTGATGACCCTTAAACAGGTGTTAAAACGGTAGTGAACAGCAAGGACCCCTGCCGTCCGATCCCAAGAATTTTAATCGTAGGGCTACCTCACCCCTCAAACTTATCCCCAATTGCAAATTCTCACCCTTTTTTACTTATAATTCTTAGACACACATACGCGCACACATACACAAACACTCACACTCATATACACTCTCCCTCAATTACACGCGCGCTCCTTTAAATTAGAATATGCTTGTTTTGTCTGTAAATTTTAATAATCTTTACTACATTCATAATAAATTTTATATATATATATATATATATACTGTATACTAGGCGGTGAATAGGTTATCACGTTAAATAGCACAGCAGTTAATACAAGTTGATATATGTCTGTTAAAGTAATAAAATAAACAATAATGAAAGAAAATAAAAATGCATTTTTCAAACAAAATAAATAGCGTAAAAAATTGACAAGAAATAAATCAGCCTTGATAATATATAGATTACTGACCTGAAGTGACTTACAAAACGTCGCACGCGCCAGAAAAATAATAATTTCGACACCCGGTCCCATTTCTAGTCACTTCGCTCATAGAGAATTATGCCTTAACTTCATTATTTTAAGTAAATTTTTCGCTTGAATTTGTTTTCACACACCCGCAGCGCGCGGTCCCTTTGTTTTTAATTTCGCGCATAAAATTATGCCTTAAATTGTGAGCCGTAAGTACAGTTTTTGTTTGATTTTTCTTTATTTGAGTACTTCGGATTGACAACGTTTAAACTACCTATCTTCGTCTTCAAATGGCATGGGTCTTTGACCTTCTAGAATTCATCAGGTGATATCTGTATGCATTTACATGATGTTATTTAATATTAAAACGAAAAAAATACTACTGCGACTAATGTATTAATTGTTATATATTTGTTTAGTTGTGTATGTTTAAAGAAATTTATGTAGCATACGTCTTTTCATTTTATGTGATAACTTTTTCGTCACTCGGTATATATATATATTTATATATATATATATATATATATATATATATATATATATATATATATATATATATATATATATATATATATATATATATAATTTTGTACTTGTAAGCTCTCCAAATAAAATAAAATTTAAATTTATTCTCGATTAAAGCTCAAAATTCAGATGCGTTGTCACCCGTGCGGACTATGATAGAATTCCTCGTTTTCAGTAAAATGTGACCCCGATTCTCTAAACTCGCCATACGAAACATACGAGTATTAAGCTGTTATTTAACGCTACGATATGTTTTTTTGGTATTCTGTAAGAGCGTGGTCCTACCCCAGTCTGCTGCAACCATAATATAGCTGCTGTGTGGTTCTACCACATAACAATCGTTTATTTTGTTTTAAATTAAATGTTACTCTAATAGAGTATTAATATTGGAATACATTTTCAGTGACGAAACGCGTGAAGTAGACGGGCGGGCGCGATCGGAGTCTGGGGATGCAGACTCGGTGTATCACGTTCGAGGTGCTTTACACGACCAGCGCTGGCGAGACAATCAGGTAAACATATTTTAAAACCCACATTGCTCAAGTAATTGTGACTAGAAAGAAGAGTGTCCTGACTTCAAATCCTACACATAATAACATATTAGGAACAACACACTTTTGATTTTGTAAAAAGTATTTTTAGAACGGTTCCCTGCTTCACGGTGTATTTGGGTAATTTTGTTACTATGTGTATTTTCAATCCTATGCAAAATAGCCTCCAAGAAAGCCTCCTCTCTGGTCTCTCTTTATTAAACAAGTACCATGGCGACCGCAAAGCTCGACGCTACAATAATGAATCTTCTTAGGGATGACACTTATCTAAATAATAATACCTTGTTAATACGACTTTGTTCATATTATATATTTTTTAATTATTTATATGAAATAAATTATATTACTTTTTATTATAATTATTAAAAAAAATATTTTATAGATTTGATTGTAAAACAATGGTTTTCCGTAAAAACACTGTCACCATCATCATTAAAGTCTATCAAAGTCTACCGCTGAGCACAGGACACTTGCCATAGTTGCCACGCTTGACAGGCGCGTTGGCAACCGCAGTTTTTTTTTAATTTTTAGCTGTCACCAGGAAAATGTAACTGCACATCTCCTGGCTTGTTTCCCTCTGTAGCCTATTACCAGACCCACGGAAAGATATGATGTAATCCAACATTTTTCAACCCAGACTAACCTCACTTAATAAAAGTACACCATCAAAAGTATCAATCAAACAAAACATTTTATAAGTTTATAATAATTTATTTTTATCCAGCTATGGAGTCGTATGCAAATTGGGGTTCTAGTAATTGAGCTATTTATATCCGTGGAAAATTACAAATCAAATTGTGCGGGCAAGTCAAATTAGTAGCTTTGTGCATGAAAACACGGAGAGAATAAATTTTCCCAGAAGTGAGACCTATATTGATTTTCGCCCCCGCAAAACCGTATATTGTAAATTTCATAGAAATCACTAGAGCCATTTTCGAGAATGCGTTTGCAAACAAATATATTAAATTATTGCTCGTATAATTCAAATCAAATGAATAAATTATTCATATTAATTGAGGGTATGAAGTCTTTAATATAACTGTTTAGAAATTCTAGTTGTTACCCTAGCGGGTAACGGGTAATAATAATAATACGGGTTAAAATTACTATATTAAAATACTGAAAAATACGATATTTCTTAGTCCACTCAGAAGGGATTTTGAAGTAGGCTTTTACTTTTGATATTGTTTTATTAAAATTGAAGCTTTATTAACTTAAACGTTTATTAAAATTAAATGTTTTTCTTAACAATAGATTTTTATTAAAAGTCATGGGTTATATTAAAAATCAACTTTTATTAAAAGTAATATTTATTAACAATTAACCCTTTATTAACAGTTAACTTTTATTAAACTTAAGTGCTTTAGTTAACAATAAAGTTTTATTAAAAGTTAAAGCTTTTATTAACAATAAACTTTTATTTAAAGTAAAACGCAACTTCAAAAACTTTTTTGAGCGGACTTGTGGATATCGTATTTTTCAGTATTTTTATACAGTATTTCCGCCGACTTTGAAAAACTGTAAAGAATGAAATTAATTCTTATTTACTAGATGGTAGGTCTCCTTTTCTACCGTCTTCAAAAAGGAGCCCGGTACTCAATTCGACTGCATGTTTTTTATGTGTGTTACCTCATAACTTTTTACTGGGTGAACCGATTTCGATGATTCTGTTTTATTTGAAATCTGATGCTTCACATGTGGTCCCATATAAATTTGATCAAAGTCTTACCAGTAGTTTTTGAGTTCTTCTCAATAATTTATATTGAAGTCGGTTATACAAATTTTTTAATTTTAAATTATTTGCCTAGAAGTCCCCCTTTGTAGGTACCGGAACAGTGATCATTCCGGACAAGTTTCGGTCAGAAGGTTGACAGCCAGGATAATAAGAGTCCTCAGAGGTACCCTTCTTTGTTTGAAGTTAGCTGCAGGTGTCCTGGCTTTATGTGCTTTACAAAGCACAGTGGAAACATCAGCAACTTCCTCACGATCGCTGCTACCGAGAATTTCTTGACAGAAAAACCAAATAATCGATTTTGGTCCGACCCTGGATTCGAACTTGGGACCTCATCAAGACATAAACAGCAGTCACGCTACGGCCAATTACGATCATTAGACCAAGGAGTCAAATTAAATTATACGAAAGAAATAAAGCTCATAAGAGCATTATATAAGAACAGAAAAGCCCTTACAAATTACAAGCGAACCCTGTTCTTTTGTTTTCGAGTGAAATTCAATGTTCAGGTCATTTAACGTATTAAAGGTTAAAAATTATTATATAATAAAATTAATATATAGTTACTGTACTGGACTACCTCGTTGGTCGAGTGGTTGTAAACGCGATTGCTGATCATAAGTTCCCGTGTTCAAATCCTGGGTAGAATCAAAATAAGATATTGGGTTGTCTGTCAAAAAATTCTCCGTAACAGCCCGCAGTCGCGGAGTAGAGAAGTTGGCGATGTTTCACTCCCGTGCCTCAAAAATCGTTGGTCCTGCGCCTGATCCCTCTCCAGTCGTGTCAGATTACCGTCCCATTGGCTATGAGAGTGTGAGTATAGAGAGTGCAATTGGCTAGTCTCGGTTGAGACTAGCCGTCTGGAAAACATTTGAACTACGGAGAATGATTAAAAAGATTTAACATAAGTCACTGGCATATAAAACGTAAGGATATACTCTTTGGTATCATGTGACACATATGTCATTTTTTTTATAACTGACTTTACGGCTCTGGGTTCTAGCCCTTCTGAGCCTGAAGTTACAATGTATAATTATCCTTCATAGCACACTGCTTCACAATATGTTGATGTGTCACATTGAGCAGCCCTTGGGAGAATTTGATGGCAACTTGACCCAAAAGACGGTTGACAGTTGGCGATGGTATCTCAAGACGCCTAAGCAGAAACTTTATCTTGAGAATCACATCACCATCAGAGCACTTGTTTCACCGTTTCCACTAATAGCTCACATGCGTAGACACTTAATACACAAAATCGCACCACTTTTACATATGAAAATCCACTTCAAACAATTATTTAAACAATATTAAAGGAGTAGTAATCCGCCGCCGGTCAAGTTCCCGCCAAAACTCCACATATGTCATATTATGTCATGCACATGAAATAGATGAGGGCATAATATCATGTAATATTAGTGTCTAATTGTTATCTATGAAAATAGGACACAACCTATTCATGCGTTATTTTGAATGCAAACAGTACACTGAAGTTTGTGAATTTATGCATTCTATGGTAATTAATTCTACGTACTAGTTCCGAAGCGAATTTCGCAGCATTAAACTCTGAAATTAGGTTAAACATTTTATTAATTTTTAATTTTTTTACCTATTTTTTAAAAAACGTTACCACCCCACTAGAATTTTCTCCTGTATCGTGGAGGCAGTTTACATACATGAATTCACAAGAAAAAACGTCAAGACCGGAACAATTAATTGCAAGCCATACAAATACTTGTTCCGTGTGGGATTCGAACCCGGGGCCGCCAGCGCAACAACTCATTGCTAACCCACTGCGCCACGGAGCCGTCAAATGATAATATTTTACGGTTTACTAATATGCTAATGTAATTGTTTGAATCTAACGTAGTTTCTTTTTTAGTATAAGAGTGACAAACAAGCACACAGTCCGCTGATGGTAAGTGGATACTGCGGCCCATAGACATCAACATTTATCCTCGATTAAGAATAAAAACGCAGATGTATTGTCAATCCTGATGACTAAGATGGAAAGCCTCGTTTCCAATAAAAAGGCTCGCCGGTTCTCTACACTCATCGTACGAAACAAAATACGTTGTCGTTAATGTTGCCAGTAACATTCTATACCAGCATAATATAGGCCTTAAACTCTATTTTATTTCTTTTTTCTTGTCAAATAAGAAGAAAGAAAGTATAAAAACAGAAACTTTTTATTCAATATAGATTATAAATAATACTTGTCGAAAGTCAATCTTTTGTTTAATTTACGACTGGTTCGAAAAACACCTCTGTCCTGGGAAGAACCAGCAAGAAACCCAGCGGGACTTTTTTTAAAAAAAAAAACTTATAATCGAAACAGCTTGGTAGCGATTACCTCATTCCCATGAATTATTATCACCCATGAATTCCTTAATATTATAATAACCCCATTTTAGACAAACTGTTTAATAATGTTTGTGAACTTTGGGGAGGTCAAATTTTATATATTTTCTGGGATTTTGTTGTTAAAGCGTATACTCGTACATCGCCCCAAGAATGAATTACTGACTTAAGAGTTAAGTAACTGGCATACTAGCTTGTGTCCTCGTTTATTTTGTGTTTCTAGTATTTGCAGAATGAACATTACTTATTTTTGTAAAACCAATATCATTTTTGTGTAATACATTACATTTTCATAAATGTATTGAGAGGCTAAAGTTAATATATTAATTTCCTTAATTTTTTGCCTGAGCGACTGCTTAGGTTTTAAATCATAGATTGCTCTTATGGCCCTGTTCTATAACAAAATATAATTTCAGTGTCAATCGTATGTCCCCTTAGCGAAATACCATACTAAAATATCCTATGGAAATAGCTAAAGAAAACTAGTCTAGTAAGTTGCAAAACTAAGTCTTCTTACTAGTTTTCGTTTATTCATTTATTCGCCACAAAAGGTAGTATTCTCTTACTCTTCAAACTTAATTAAAGTATTTTATAAGAATGTATTTCATTTTAATTCTCCAATTAAATCAGTTCATAAAAGAGCGATCAAAATCAACTGTACTGTTGCGAAAACGGTTTTTTGTTTTTTAAAATAAGCTGGTCTCGTGATTTATTTATATTCCACGAATATTAACAACACTACAGGGTTCTTTAGTATTAATTACTTTTGTTAAAAATGAATAACAACGAAGAAGATAAATATTATGAAACAAAAAGATAGATATTTTAAAAGATAGATTAATAATAATAATAAAGCTTTTCTATATATCTT